CCGAAATGCTCGAAAAAGTTGCCCAAAATTGGACTTTCCGAATGGACCACCTAAGACGCAGCCGCGGTCAACATTTAAATGAAATTATCTTCAAAAAGTAAATGTCATGGACCAATCTAACGTTTCAAATAAAGAACCGATGAGATTTTGCGTTTTTTTTTAAAAAAAAGTTATCAAGCTCTTAAAAAATCACCCGTTATCATATTAAAAGTTACAAAAGGTTGCATTTACGAAGGACGGAGAAAGGGGAAGGTACGAAAGTGCTGTATAGTGGTAAATATTCAATTCAACTACGCGCATATTAAAATGAAGCGTTCGTTTTGAAAAAAGCATCGGTGAAGTAAATGATCAAGATGAACTCCAAGAAGAAAAATATTTAATTTGCATGTTGCCTGCAATGGAATTCGAAGTCTGACCCTCTGGAAATCAACAAATTGCGGCAAGCATCTTTGCGCACTCAGCTACAGCCAGACATATAAACGTGCTTTCAGATGTTGAATTTTAATCAACACCACAGCACGCGATTAGTGCATTTGTACAGATAAACATCCCAGTGGGAAAAGGTAATGTCTGGGAATGCAAAAATTAATGGATAGCCCCTATAACCTACGCACGAAAAGATGCAAGAATTTCTCCACAGCGATGTCATACGAAGGTAATGTGTCGCGTTTCGCTTTACACAACTATAAATAGAATCTGTAAATAGAATTAAAAAAATAAAAAATAAAGTCCGTGCTGCCGTGTTGTTGGCCCGGGTTCAATACCTGTATGGGGGCTATAGGTTATAGTGATCCGATCTTCGTAATTTTCACTGTAAGTATTATCAAATAAAACACCTCTTTGAGGTAAAATTGTGGAGTGACGAAAGCTGAACTAGAAACACAAAATTTGTTATATCAATTTCGTGACGAAAATTATACGCATTTTTTAACTGCCTTTGAAACGTAGGGAAAATCTTTTTTATTTTATTATGCATTTGTACAGATAAACATCCCAGTGGGAAAACGTAATGTCTGGGAATGCAAAAATTAATGGATAGCCCCTATAACCTACGCACGAAAAGATGCAAGAATTTCTCCACAGCGATGTCATACGAAGGTAATGTGTCGCGTGTCGCTTTACACAACTATAAATAGAATCTGTAAATAGAATTAAAAAAATAAAAAATAAAGTCCGTGCTGCCGTGTTGTTGGCCCGGGTTCAATACCTGTATGGGGGCTATAGGTTATAGTGATCCGATCTTCGTAATTTTCACTGTAAGTATTATCAAATAAAACACCTCTTTGAGGTAAAATTGTCGAGTGACGAAAGCTGAACTAGAAACACAAAATTTGTGATATCAATTTCGTGACGAAAATTATACGCTTTTTTTAACTGCCTTTGAAACGTAGGGAAAATCTTTTTTATTCATACGAATCGTTGCAAAGGTTCTGTTTTTGAAGTGAAACTTCTTAGGCGGCGGTATCGCAAAAATGGAGAGTG